CTGAGATTGTGGATTTGGGGTTTTCATGAGCTGTAAGCCATCATCACAATTATGACAAATCAGGCTTGAACTATCTTGCTTTGCATGTAATGAGTCTATCTCATATATTAGTTTCACCTTTTAACCTTCACCTTGTATTACTGAAATAATTGAACTTTTGCACGATATTCTAATTTTTCGAGTTTCACCTGTAGAATGCAAGTCAAAGGGTTAAAAGCATGTCATTCTCCTTGCCGATACTGAATCTTAATCAGGTATTAATATCTGCTTATTTAGAAGTAAAAAGAGATACTTTTCATCAGTATAATATGTTTTTACATTTAGAATTAGATAAAGAGCCAATGGAAGGATTTGTGTTGATATAGATTTTAGATTGATATTTAAAATATAATTTAGATTGATGTTAAAATGCCATTTAATGAACACTGGCAAAATATATTTGGTGTGTGTGTGTGTGTGAGACAGATTATTATTAGCCTTTTCTCCTGTTTTGTCTTGACTATAAATATGCATCAGATCACTGAACCTTTCTCAAGCTTTTAGCCAGCTGGAGGCTGGATCTTACCAAGAGTACTTGATTAATGACTGAGTTCGGCAACTTGAGTTTAATCAAAATGAACAGAGGTTACCCAAAAGAAGCATTTGGCTTTTAATGATTCACCCTTGAAAAATCCCTTTGGAGATGTGAGGCATTATTTTGTTAACTAGAAATAGTTCTAGTGAAAAGAGTAGGGGTTTATTTTCAATCAGCAAGGTAGCATTTTGGCCCATATTTTATAATCTTATTTTGGTGCTATTTTTTTACTGATATTTGTCTTTAGAAAAGATGCATCACACTCATTTTTCCCTAAATCAGTTTTTTTTTCTAACTTTGCTTGTAAAAAATAAGGGTAACAGACAAATTGAAAACCATATATCCTGACAGCACAATGATATTTTTGCAAAGCTGTCCAGTCAGTAACTATTTGCTTTGTGACATGGATTCTATTTGCTTTGTTATATGTTTTCTTTTTGTAACAGGATGTTTTGCATACAATGCAAGTAAGAAGGATTGTTAATTTCCCGTAGAAGTAACAGACTTCTTGGACATTCTATTCTCTTTGTATGTTTCATTTATACGCAAAAGAAGAATGCTGAAAATCTGCTCTGAGAGCTTTTTTGCAAGTAACAAATAAATGTTTATGCTATTATGAACTAAAAGGCAGTCAGAAAGGGCTTCTGTTTGATCAATAATGTATGCTCCAGTTAGTCCTATCCTCTGGACATCATTAAATGGTAGTTTGTTTCATAACTGATCATTTTGGCTGACTAGAATTTATAACTATCTCCTCAAGCTTTTGTATTGTCCAGCAGACAAATACGAATCAAAATAATCAGTTATGCTTAGTGAAAATATGGAATATAAATAAATAAATGTTGGAATTAGTTATTAATTGTTGGAAGATTTGAGTTTCAAAACCTGATTTCTTGGCCTTGTTCATACTGGGATGATAAACTTTGTTTTTTCATATTTTGAACTTCTCCTAACAAGCTTAAAACTTTGTATATGACATATTAAATTAAACTGTATATTTTAAAAAAAATAACAAGCCTTTTAGACGTAGTTAATAATTTTAATAGTTAATCAAGACTAATTTCATGTACAAATATGAAATCATCAAACCATGCAAGGATTTTAAACATTATTGGCATTGAAAGATCTGCATTTGTTTTTTTGTTTATTTCCAAGTTCTAGTCAGCCAAATGCAGGGTAAAACTTAGAATTTTTTAAAGACTCAGAGGCCAGATAATTTCCTTACCTATTTATACCTGGTTACTTTCATCATCGGCAAAATGTTTTTCTATTACATTGGTATCTTTGGAAATAAGAGATTTTCAAGTAGGGCAATGTGGATAAATTTTCTTATAGGCTTAGCCTATTTTTATATGTAGTATAAGATTGTAAATGTGTAAATTGTCTGCTCTCAGACACTCTTAATACTATTCCACAGAAGGAAAGCCATTTTAAAAAGCACAATTTAGTCACCATGTATGAGTGACTAAAATATGCAGGGAAATAAGCAATATGATGGATGTTAGATATTTTTAAGCAATGATATTTAATTTACTAACTTCCTGCCACCAGACTCTGCAGTACTTGTAAATAAACTGGCAAATTTAAGCATGCATATTGCTATAATTGGCTACACAAACTTAGTACTTTTTATTTTGGCCTAAGATAAAATAAAAATGTTTTTGTGATAAAGAATAGATCATTTTAGACATATTGCGCTACAGGTAGTCCTTAATTTATGACCCTATAGACCCCTGTCATTAAGTGAGACTTTGTTAAATGTCCCATTTTACAACCTTCTTGCCACAATTGTTAATTACTGCAGTTGCTAAGTTAGCAACAAGGTTGTTAGGTGAATCTGGCTGTCCTATTAACTTTGTTTGTCAGAAGGTTGCAAAAAGCGATCAAGTGACCCTGGGGCACTGCAACCATAATAAATATGGTTCAAATGACCATAATAAATATGGATCAGGTGACCCTGGGGCACTGTAACCATAATAAATATGGATCAAATGACTATGGGGATGCCAAACATCCAAATTTGGATCATGCTGTGATGGGTATGCTGCAATAGTTATATGTGGGGAAAATGGTCATAAGTCACTTTTTTCAGTGCCATTGTAACTGCGATGAACTGTTGTAAGTCGGACATTATCTGTATGCCCAAACTTCCACGTTTAAGAAGGATTTTAGAGAATAATAGAGAACACTGGATAAAACTGATTTTTTTTTTTACTGCTTATAGTGTGGTTTCACAGTCATATATGGGATTGAAGTAAATTGATCAGTCTTATGCATGACCTTTGTTAGGATCTGTGCTAGTCTGTTGGAAATGTCAGCAACTTTTGATACCTTCAATTATGGTATCCTTCTGGATTGCTTACAACAAAAGGGTGGGAGGAGGAATTACTGTTTTCAATATCCTTATCCAATACTGTATCTTCAGGCTATTATGGATTGGCTGGAATTGTACCAAACTATTTTTGTCCAGAAACCATTGGATCTGAATCCAAGATAGCTTTAAACAGGCTCACGCTGATCCATAATCTGTTTCTTGGTTCATGGCTTCTGCTTGTTTTTAATGCTGTTTTAAAATGTATTTTGACAATATTTTTATATGTTGTTAGCTGCTTCGTGCTGTTGCGGCAAAAAGGGAAACAGATAAATAGAACAAATAAACAGCTGGTTGACAAAGGAAGCCTTTCAACTAGTTTTGTATGATGATGGCAATCGGACCCCAGCAGTCCCTTAGGGTCAACTCATGCCTTTCTTAGTTCTAGAGTGCAACACCCTCTCTTTTTTAAAAAAGAATGTTCAGCAGAATGTGAAAGCATAGAAGCTGGTAAATGAAGCCATTTAGCATTGCTGCAAAGCTATGAGCATAATATTGGCTGCCTGTTTGTTTTGGTTCCAATTTAATATGTTGGTGATTACCTATAACAATCTTCATGGCTTTGTAAAAATTACAAAGAATCTGCCCAATCAGTGCACTTAAAACAGGAAGACATGAACTGTATCCTTGCTCCCCAGTCCACTCCTGGCCCATGATTTTGGGATAGAAGAGAGGAAGCAGGTCTTTTCTGTGGCTGCCCCAGTCCTGTGGAATGGACAGTCAAGAATTAGATGACTCCCTCATTCCTTGTGCTGGTTTATTGTTATTGTTGTTCAGTTCCATTTTAACTAATGGCATTTCTACTGTAAATCTTCAGTATTTAATTTGTTTGAATAAAACAAATTTAATTTGTTTAAATTTAAAATAAAATTTGTTGAATAACCCCCCTTTTCATTTAGCAGATTGGAAATGAAACAATTTTTTTTTAAAAAATCTAGACTTTTCAGAAAGGAAGCCACTTTTTGCTATAATTTATGCTGTTTATAAGATTCATCCTTCATCCACATCTGGGTTATTTCCAAAAGCAGCTGTATCTATCTTGAAAAGATCTCCTGCATAGAAGAAAACTATAGGTTTTTTTTTTCTTGCTTGTTCAGTTTTCTATGATTATTGCAGCGATTTTGTCTTCCTGAACTATGCAGGTTTTCCCATGTCAATTTATTTTTTGTTATTACATCATTCACTTAATACAACAAAAATAGTTGGTCAGTTAATTTAGCGTATGACATACTTTGCTTCTAGTTAGAAGAAAAAGTCTTTAATCTGTGTTTATATATTCCTTCTATTCCCTTAGTAATGCATTATTTTGATGGTTTATATTCCTTCTTTCTATCTCTTGTAGTTCCTTTCCCAGTTAGACAATTGTACAGTTGCAATTATAAGTTAACTACTTGGGCCTTTTAAATATCTGTGATTTGTTTGATCAGTATAAGCTGAGAATTTTGAGTTCAAGAAGCAATGACTAGGAAAAAACCAGTATCACTTTCACTATTTATTTCCTTTTATGAAGTGTAAAGCTTTGCTGTTTTTATGCTTCAGAGATGCTTTTGAAATAGCAAGTATTTCAAATAATAGAGATGTATATGCAATAAGTATAAAGGAAAATTCAACCTACTTATATCTATTTATTAGCAGCAGCTATATTTCCTAACTAATTTATCTTTCAGTCTTCAAAAGATTCCAGAAATCTTATCACATACTTTAAAACCATATTTTGGACAAAATAGTTTTCAAGGGCCTAGTATCCACAGTGAAATAAATAAAATTCATCATTCCTTTCATAAAAGTCCAGTTTTTTTCACTTACTAGCAAAATAGAAGATATTTAAATATATTTAAAATAAATATATTAATATAAAATTTAAAATAATAAAATAAAATAAATAATAAAAATAAAATAAATAATAAAAATAAAATAAATAATAAAAATAAAATAATAAAATAATATATTTAAAATAATATATATTTAAAATAAGTTCTTGCGTGTTTCTCCAGTGTCTTTGTTAATATGCATAACAAAGATTGCATGAAATTGTTTTTTGTTCTTTTCCCTTAGAAAACATATTTTAAGACAAGAAAGCAAGGAATGTCTTCGCTGAAGGGTAAGATTCAGACTGTATTGGGCCTAATAGACCCTAGCCAACTGGGCTACACTATGACGCATGAACACTTGACAATGGGCTTCAGTTGCTGTTACTACCCGCCACCTCCAGGTCAAGAAGCTCTTTCTGAAAAACCCATTGAGATGAAGCACTTGTTTTGGCTTAAACAGAATCCTTATAGCCACAAAGAGAATCTTCTGCTGTATGAAGAGACTGATGCTGTGAGAGAAGAACTCCTTCATTACAAGGCTGTAGGAGGTGGAAGCATAGTGGAAAATACAACCACTGGGATCATGCGAGATGTGAAGATACTAAAACAGCTTTCAGAAGAAACTGGTGTTCATGTTATTGCTGGGGCAGGTTTTTACGTAGATGCCACTCATTCCTCTGAGACTAAAGCTATGTCTGTGGAACAGGTAGGTATCAAAATGGTGTGAAAACTGAACCACCATTTTGAACACTCCATTGAATAAACCCAATAGATGATAGCTACTACAGCTCATATATGAAGAAGGGTTTAATCTATGAGTAGTTAAATATTTCTAGATGATTGCATGACAACAGGAGTGCTAAACCATTCTGCTTAAACCTATAAGCACAAAGGCTTGAACACATTTTTAACAAATAACAGAGGATCCTTGTTTGCACTAAGTTCTGTTGTGCAAAATCTAGTCTTTCCTTCACATGTTTCTCAGGAACTGAGCTGTTGTTCCTTCCAACAATTTAGACAGAAACTAAATGTCAAGCATGAACTGATTTAATTGTGATTTTTTTCTCAGTAAGACACTAACAATTTTTAGTTCAGCATGTAGCTTTCATGCCCTTTAATATATAGAATTGCTATTCAAATAAGCATATTTTATGTTGCAAATAACTCTTCATTCAGGACTGAATCTGTACATTCCTGAAATATTTATTATGTGTCTGTCTAATATAAGTAACAGTTATTTGTTGTTCAGTGACAAGAAAAGACATTTTTTCTCACTCATATAATTATGTTGATCCTGTTGATTCTGTTAGTACTTACAGTATTGTAACCATTTTTCATTTAGCAGCTGAGTTGCATTGTTGTTAAGTGAAATTGTTATTAAGTGAACACAGGACAGAGAGAGTGAGAGACATTAATATCAGTGGTTGCTGCCATATAATTTATAATAAGTTCTATTATATACCTTTGCCAACATTACTATCACTCCACTGTGCATTCTTGTCAGATACATGAAATTTGGTTATAAATACACACATTGATCAGAATTTTTTTATTATCATATTTGTAAATGGTTGCTAACCGAAGTCGCAACCATTTGTAATGGGTATATTTAGAATTTTTTTATTTATAAAAACATGGTAGAAATATTTCTGTCAGTTACATCATGGTAAATATTTAAGATAAATATCTATAAAACTACTTTTATTTATAAAGATATACTGTTAATTTATTAAGAAAATATTAAGGTTACATCTTCATGCACTATCACAGTTGTCAGTGCTGAATACAGGTAATCCCCAGGTTATGAGCATTCCCTTAGCAAACATTCGAAGTTATGCAATAAGTGTTTACAAACAAGTCCCGAAACTATCAATGTTGTAGCACTATGGCAGTTGTTCACTTTTACGAACAACTGCAGAAGTTCTGAAACATTCGCCCTGCTAATTTCCACCCCCACCCTCTCCCCAGGTCTCCGTAGGCACTAGGCCTGTGGATACTACCTTGCGAAGATCTAGAGAGCCTTTGTTTTTTTGGCCTGTTTGTTTTGTGTACACAGAGAATGGAGGCCTAAAGTACGGCAAGATCACACTAGATCAGTAGCTTGAGAACTCACATGCTTCATCTCGTGTGATCTCGTGGCACTTTAGGTCTCTGTTCTCTGCAAACAAAGGCCTGGATGAGAGCTGCAGGAAAAGGCTTTGCAAATCGAGGGAAGGCCTGAAACATTGGAGGGAGGGAGCTTTGCTCTAGAGCTCCATTTTCGCCAGGAAAGACCTTTGCTGAAGAGAAGCTTTGTTTTCAAGCACCCCATTTCCAGGCAGACAAAGCTTACAGTCTCTGTCAGGGTGACAAGTGTTTGAGTGACCTGGGGTGTGTGTCGAAATGGAGTGAATTGCTTGAAAATACAGCTTTTCGCTCCATTTCCAATTTCCCAGTTTCCCTCAAACACTTTCCACCCAGATGAAGACTGGAAATTTCTGTGGTGCATGGTCCTGTGCGAGTTCAGGCACCCATCCACTTTTGCAGAAATGGGTGCCTGATATCCTGTGGAATCAGGGCGCCCAGAAGGTTCTAGTCTTCATGGGAAAAGTGGTTGTACATTTATGAGGGGCTTGGAGCAATGCAAGTTTGTTGCCTTAGCTTCTCTTCGTGCAAATGCATAGAGCCTAGAAGCCTTTGGAGGAGACTCACCGAGGCAGCCTACTGCTCCAAAAGTGGCAGGCAGGCTCGGTGATTAAAAAAGCCGAGCAGGACACACTCGTCCTACTCTCCTTCTCTTGATGCTCGTTTGAAGCAGGCAAAGAGACAGATGCTGGAGACGAGACAGATCTTCACAAGGTAAGTGACTTGGTGTGATAGGTTGAGGGGAGAAGCAATTGTGGGGAGCATGAGGGCAGAGCTGACGTCGCGACGATACGGCATGCGGTCTTGGAGATCTGAGATCGCAGCCGATATCTTTGCTCCTGAAATGAAAGAGAACGGAAAGAGAGAGTGTGCTGGTTTGGTGAGAACTTTTTCTTTATTTTAAGACTTGAAAGGACACCCTAAGGGAAAGAAAGAATCTGTAGAAGTTTTGACAGAAGTGATTAAGTGGCGATTTTAAACAGGAATGTCAAAGTAATTTTTTTTTTCTCATTGCTGGATTTTCTACACATGATCTTATATTTTGAAACTGGGCTGGGGTTTTTTTTTTTCTTCTTTTTATATATTCTTCTCTCCTTTTTGATTTTATAATATTTTAAGCCAGAGACTCCCTTTTAGTTATTTTTTAAATTTCTTTTTCTTTTTTAAAAAAATTAATTGTTATTATATTTTGCTTGGAAAAGGAGGGGGAAAGTGAAAGCTAAAGAAACTTTGTAACACTGCCAACTAGAGACTTGGAAATATTCTATTTTTCTTTTGACCAGACAAAGCTGAGAAAGAACTGAGACTTTGTTTCAAGGACATTGCTGTTTGATAAGATAGAGGGAAGAGCACAGGAGAGTATTATTACAGGTGCTCTTCTGGGTTTCTATCAACAGCTGGAGTCTGGTATTGAAGCTTAGGAAAAGAAAAGGTGATAAGTCTTTGGAGAAGAGAGTTATAACAAGAATCTTGGATAATCAAACAAAGTGCAGTGTGCTCTTTTTATTCTTTTTAAGCTGTGCTACCCCTCCTCATCAGTTTACTTTTTTTTCGCAATAGCTATTTGGATTTTTGGCTCTTTGGAACTTGTCTTTGTTTTTTTTATTTTCTTGTCTTTGGAAGTTAAATTTTTACGTCTGCTTTTTCTTTAGTATTAATGCTTCCCTTCTGTTTCTTTTTAAGGGAGTAGCCTTTTTCTTCTCTTTCCCTCCCTGGTATTTTTGTCTTTCCATCTACTTTCCATATTGGCTTTTTTGCGGGGGGGGGGGGGGGTTTTTTGATGCATACTTTTATATTTGAGACCTCTTAATTGGATTAAGGTGTTGAAGAACCTAAAGAATTTTTCCTTTCTTTTTAAGCCCTTTTCTTCACTTTTTCACCTTTTTTAGGATTTTACAACTTTTTCTTTTGTGTATGTGTCCATGGTGTGTTTATGGTCTTTTCCTTCATTTTTGAATTTTTACTGTCATCTCACCAACTGATTGGATTAAGATTTAGAAGAACATGAAGATTTTGAACTCCTCAAAATGAGTAGGAAATTAACAGCTCCTGGTTCTTCAACTTCCACTTCTTCCTCTCCGCCATCTAGAGGACAACATTCAATACAGACAATATTAAGGCAAGAAAAAGAACAACAGAAAGTGACCCTGCAGATGATTATGCAAGGAATTCAAAATATTCAAACAAGATCAGAGAATATTGAAAAGACAATAGAGAATAGAGAACATTGAACAAAGAACATGGAAAATCGATGAAAAAGTGGAGAACATCCAACAAATGATGATGAAGTGTGATGAGAGACTCCAAAAAATTGAAGAACAAGATAAACAAAGAGACAAGAAGATTGGACACATTGATAACTGATTAATTGTGGTTGAACAAGATAAAAGGGGTATGCTGAGATGGGAGATGGACAGATCAGAATTTTATCTTAGATTCCAAAACATAGAGGAAGAAAAAGAACAAAATCTAGCTGAGATAATGATAGAAATATTGGCTGAAGCTTTGGAAATAACTGAAGAGAATACCAATTCTTGACCAAATTGTTACTTTAAAAAGAGGTGAAATATAGATGGCTGATTCCAGAAGGTTTAATGTTTACATGGCAAGAACAGAGATATAGAATTGATTCAATTGAGAAAGCTGAATCATTTTACACAGAATTTTTCAGAGGGGAGGAAGAGGCAGAAAAAGAAATTTCACTAATTGAATTCCAAGAGGAGTCCCAAATGACAACTGAAAAAGAAGAAGGTACAGTGGGTGGAAAGAAGGAAGCCAAAGAACAACATGAACCAAGATCCACGAGAGCTGTCAAACCTAATTACAAAATATAACCATGGAAGAGAAAAAATTGATTACAATTAATATAAATGGATTTAACTCAGCCGTTAAAAGAAGGAAAATGTTTCATAAATTAGAGAAACTAAAATTTGATATAATCTGCCTTCAAGAAGTACATATTAAAAAACAATTTGAACAATTGTTGATACAGCCAAAATTAGGGAAAATATTCACTTCCTTGACACAATGTAAGAAAAGAGGAGTGGTTTTATATATTAAAGAGACCATCTCAGCAAAATTGATTTATACTGATGATGACAGAAGAATATTAATGGTGGAAATAATGGACAATAATATGAAAACACTCCTGATTGCAATCTATGCCCCGAATGACAATCAAGAAGAATTCTATAAAAAATTACGTATGTTACATAGTTATGATGGGAGATTTTAATGGAATTGTAGACAATAAACTGGACTACACAACACAGAAAACAATAAAGCAAAATAGAAAGACTCTCCCTAAACCTTTTTTTTAAAATGGTAGATGAAATAAACTTAAAAGATACATGGAGAGAAAGAATGCTAAAACTAAACAATACACCTTCTACTCAAATAGACACTTATAATGGTCCAGAATAGATATGATATGGATGTCAACAGAATTGTTAACTAATATTCAATAAATAAATATTGAAACAAGTACTTGGGAAGATCACAATCCAATGACAATTAAATGGAAAGGACAAAGAAGAAGATCTAGATGGACGTTAAATAATACTATTTTAAAGGGAAAAGACCACACAGTGGATGGAGAAAGAATTGGCCTTTTTCTTTGGAGAAAAGATTCTAAAACAGAAGGTTTCTATGATAAACTGACTGACTTAGATAAGATTTTGACAGGTACTGATGAAAAGGAGATTAAAAAACTGTATGGATATTTATTAGAAATTAAACTAGAAGAAGAACAAGGTAAAGAAACTATGATTGCTTGGGGGAAGAATTTTGGATATGGGATTCAACTTGAGAAATGGCAACAATTGTGGTCTCAAAATTATAAAATGACAATGTCAACAGCATATAAAGAAAATTTGTATCCACACGTGGTTGGAAAAAATGACAAAAAAGCATATAGATTTGAAACCAGAAATATTTTTATTGGGAATTTTACCTGAAATATATAGTAAAGACTTGAAATACCTGATTGTAAATGTATTAACAGCGGCTAGGATTGTATTTGCTAAAAACTGGAAAAATGAGAAAATACCATCACAGGAGGAAATCATTAAGAAAATATTGGAATGTGCTGAAATGAGTAGATTGACATTTGAAATTAGAGAACAAGATGGTAAACAATTTTATAAAATTTGGAATCTATTCTATCAATGGTTAGACAATAAAATACAGTAATGAAATATGTAGACTTTTAGAAAAAAATATATAAAGGTGTATTCTTTTCTAATTATATCTACAAAATGATTCTAGGATAGATCAGGGACAATGATACAAATTGTTATAAAACAAATTAAGTAAAATATGATCATTTTGGAAAACATGAATGAATAAAAGTATAGTCAAATGATTGATTAATAATGATATTAATGTATTTAATATATTGATTGAAAATATGAGATTATATACAATGTAATTATAATTGAAGACTATGAAATGGAAGCACAAAGCAATTTGTAAACCAACCGGCACACTGTATGTACATATATGGAAGATGATTTGATGTTTTTAAGTTTTGTTTGTTTATGTTTGTTTTAAAAACCAATTAGATTGTATTAAAAAAAAAGAAAGAAACAGATGCTGGAGAGGAGACAGATCTTCACAAGGTAAGTGACTTGGTGCGATAGGTTGAGGGGAGAAGCAATTGTGGGGAGCATGAAGTATTTTAGTAGATTCAGGGAGGCCTTGGGTGGTCCGAAGCAGGTAGCCTATTCCATCCCTGTACCCCTCCATGGCCTTCCTCACCCTGAGATACCTCATGTGCACTTAACGAGCCTCACATTCAATTGGCAAATGCGTGGGCAAAAGGAGGGAGTGATCGCATTCAAGGTACAAGATTCACTCCCACGAATGGCAAGCTCTGTTACATTTGTAACTTCATGGCTACCTGTATTCAATGTTTACCATCTTGTGTATATATATTAATGTATTATATGACATATCAGGAAGAAAAGAGCTTTTAAGGTCAGAAGTCAATATCTTAAAAACAAATCGTGAAATATTCTTGCTTATTATTTATCTTGAACTCTCCTGTGCGAAAAAAAAAAATATCTGTAGCGAGACTTTTAAAATGAAATCAAATATTTATGATTGTTGTAGACCACATATCAAAAGTTTTTAACCAAGATTTACCATGAGATTACAAAAAGTCACAATTTTGCTTTCAAATATACTCCACATTTGCAAAAAAGAAAGTTTTCCTGGTTGGTTGATTTATAATAAATCAAGTGTATAAAAATAATGTAAAATAATTCAGTTTTATGAGAAATTGGGTTTTTTCCGCAGAGAGTGAGAAATCTTTCTCTCAAAGAGCATGTTTTGATTTTGGGCTGCTGGTGAACTGGACCAGAACAAAAATAGTTCTCGATTTTGACATTCTTGGTTTTTTTCATCTTCCATTTTTGTCAGAAAAAAGACATCCTACCCTGGCTAGAGCCTGAATGATTCGCAGTTAGAATAATTTAATATTCAAGCCACGTACATCAAGTATTATTATTTATTTAAAATTATTCATTTCAAGGAAGAATACTGTGTTGATAACCAAATATCTTTAGGACATGACTTCATGTAAAGGTGATTTTGCTAATTACAAGAAATTTGGATAAAATGCAAGAAGTTTGTTTTAAGTTAAATTCATTTTTGGTTTTGAATTGATTATAATTATATACTTCACCTTATTTTAATAAATAACAGCAATTGTTTCTTGCAACTTTCATGATATTCTTCTGCTGTTGACATAACAGAAATGACATCTTTATTTTGAATTGCAGTGGGGTCTGTGTTGTAGCTTTTTTGTTTGGAAAACAGAGTATTCATTTGACTGGTGGAAAAGGATGAAATGTCCTTTTTGTCTCTTCTCAACAGATTATACCCACTAAAGAGACCACTTACCAAAATAACATTCATTTTCTTTAGTTGACAGAAGTCATTGTTAATGAAGTTCTCAATGGAGCTGATGGAAGTAATATCAAGTGTGGTGTAATAGGGGAAATCGGCTGCTCTTGGCCTCTGACAGACAGTGAAAACAGAGTCCTTAAAGCAACAGCACATGCCCAGGCCCAACTTGGCTGTCCAGTCATCATTCATCCAGGCCGAAATGCGGATTCACCTTTCCAGATCATTAGAATTTTGCAGGAAGCTGGAGCTGATATCTCAAAAACTGTGATGTCTCATTTGGACAGGTAAATTGGCTTTCAGGAGACTGAATTCATATTTATGTGTTGTATATATATTTTTGCATCTGAAGAGTGGAATTTTAAGGAATTCATTAAATCTCTATAGCACCATGTTTTGATGTATCACTAGGCAGAATGGCTTAATTTTTACTGGCAGTTGTAGGTATAATGCTTAGATTAATTATTCAAAAGTTAGGGACAAATAATTTGAAAATACTCAAACAATAATGCTTATAAAAGAGCACTCAGTTCTGCTAAAATCTAATTTTTTAAAAAAGAAGCCTACCTGCCTAACTGCTTTGTAGATTATAACATTCATTTATATATAAGTGTCTCCTCAGTCCCTGGTTGGGTACCTTAAATAGATTATATTTTTCAAGTGAAGTAGACTCAAAATCTACTTTATATTATCAAATTCTATTTATGTCAAAGAACTGTTCAGATTCATAATTCAAAATATTTTATGGATGTATAGCTCTTACAGTATTATTTAAATTTTATGAAGCCATAAATACCTCTTCTATGTACTTGTTCTATTCTTCCAATTCTTTACTGGAAAAACTGTAAGATTTTTCTATCCTTTTTGTTAAACCTTTCCAACTTATATACACCCCCTTCCTTCATCTGTCTACAGGAAACTGTGATTCTAATTCCCATACTTCCACCTCATAAATTACTTTTGTCTCTTATTTTACTAATTATGATTCCATTTTTTTAAAAATGAAATGTTTCACAATATGTCCACTGGTATCTGGAATAAATTAGCTATTGACATGATAAATATATATTATGGAAAAGAAATGGTTCCTATACATCTAACATCTTTTCTAATGTCTCCTAGTTCAAGGGTCCCCAACCCCAGGGCTATTGTTCTATTCTATTCAAGTCAATTTATGTTGATGTTGATGGCTTGCTATAGGGTTGATGGACTAAGAAGGATCATGTATTGTAGTACACAGACCTTCTCAGAAGTTTAGAGTAATTAAGAGTAGAATAGTTAAGTCATAGAGTGTACATTTTGAAAGCAGAAAAGTTCTAAATTGTATCCACAATATCTCTGGGTAATATTTAGAAAAAATGCCACATGAATTTAGTTAATTGTCACCAGTCAGTGTTCACAAAAGTCCCTGTGATTGTGAGTTGATTTCTTAAAATGATCATGTTTTTTTAAATCAGTAGCTCCTGAAAAGGTTGGTCCATCTTCCTGTTGGCCTTTCCTGAATCAATTGTCAAAGAATTGAGCTTTTTTACAATACAGTAGAACCATGAGTCCCATGAATTTCAAGAGAAATGGAGATGTGGGCTGGAAAGGACAAGAGAATGGCATGTTCTGGAATAATGTTCCTTAAACTTTGTGCTCCCAGGACCTACTTTTAAAAATTATGGAGGACCCCAAAAGATCTGTAATTTGTAGATTTTGTGGATCTCCGAGAGGGTCTTGCGGGGTCCCCAGGAATCCTTGGATCACACTTTTAAAATTAGAAACATTGCTGACTGAAAAATAAACACGAGTAGAGGTCACGATGTTGCAACTTTTTATTATAGATCCTTAAAGGAAAGTAAATATGCTACCAACCTATTTTTCCATTCTGCTCATCTGTGAGGCATTAGAAGAAAAATAAACTTTTTCCAGATTGCAAATACTTCTTTGTCTGATTGCCTAGAGGTGAACCTTGATTGCCTCAGGTAATCAGGCTGGTGGTTATTAACAGGCCTCATTTAAATGAATTCCCTTTTCTTTTATATGTTAACTAAAAGATTGCTGGCATAATCCTTTGATTTGTGAAGTAAAATAAAGACACAATAGAATATGCTGTGGTTCTTCAATATAGACATTCATCTTTATAATATTTTCCGCACTTCAATATCTAGAGGTATCTCTATGAAAACCAAAAAGAGCATGGCAATTTGAAAAACTTATTAGTTACCATTTCTGATTTATGTGAACTATGAAGATTACTTAAAAAGAAATTTATTAGTTAGCGTTGGCAGGAGTGAGGAGCAATGTGGTGTCCTGGTGGTGAAGACTCTCACCTCCCACTGGGAAAATTGAAAGTTCAGTCCTAGACAGCAGCAGATGTTTCTCTCAAGGCACAAAGACCTGCTGCGAATACCACATAGGTATCAGGAAGGGCATCCGGCCAGTAAATCCTCAGCTCCATTCAGCCCCAACTCTACCCTAAATCAAGGAATTACAGGCTTGTAAAAAGGAAAAAAAAGAGTTAGTAGCAGTGAGATTCCTACTGGTGGCAGTTATTTTTTTTAACAAGGGTTTCTTTCATTCTACCTGTTCCTACTCCTTGATCTTATTGTTAATTCAAAACATTTCATTTGTGTAAGCATTATGATGTAATTGAATGAACACTAGGAACTCTAAGACATTAAGTGCCAGTATTTGAAGGTGCACATATTTTTGTATGCTTTTCATGCTGTTCGATATGATTCTTTCCTGGATCTGTAGTTTATTACCACTCTAACACAAATCATAGGCACAGGGACTTTCTCACATTAGTTGATTGCTTCCATATTATTATTCAGCCAGAAATACTTGATCACATGTCATGTTTGATCTATGGAATACTTTCCTTGCCTTTGGCTGAATTTAGAAAATTAATCAAATCAGTGATCAAAATATGGAGAGTGTTGCCCTTTCATTGCTCCAGGTTAGCCCTATTTCAAACTAAAGTGCATATTAAAGCCCAGACTAGTATTTCTCAAAATATAGTCCAAGGATCCCTGGGAGTCCTCCAAGACCCTCTCAAGAATCTGTGAAATCAAATTATTTGCCAGTCGCTGCAAAATAATACAATATTAAAATCCCAGCAGACAATTGTGAAAAGTGATAGTGGCAATGAATGTGTTCTTTAAAAATACAGTTAATAAATATAACCCATCAAAACAAACTCTTTTGGGGGACCTCTGTAATTTTTGAAACTGGGAATGAGCACTGGGAACAAAGGAGTTCAAGAAATATTAGCCTAGAGGAACTGTTAGCAAATAAAACTCTGTTATAAGTAGCTCAAGTTGATTAAAAATCAAATTCTTGGTCATTGGTTAATCTAAAAAAGATTACTGAGAGATTTTCTTTATCCAAATAACAATAGATTAAACAAGATGAATTTCTTACTTCATTATATCAACGTCCAAAGATAAAAATGAGTGTCATCGGAGCAATTTTTATTTAGTGGAATTACATGACTTTTTTCATGTAATTCATACTGTTAAGGGAAATAGAAACACTGGTTTCTTTTTATTATTTATTATTATTGTTATAAAATGTTATTTGGCATATATATTATACATGTCATTTTTGTAGGTATTTTTAATCCTGTCTGTTCCATATAATGAAATTAACTGGAACTTTCCTTGCTCATATAATTGAGAAATTTGATCTCCCCTGCTTTTTGTAAAGAACCAACAATCCTAAAGTATTAATTTGGAATTACATTTTAAATATGTGTCTGGCTATTTTTTATTTTCCTTTGCTAACATTTTTAATTAATTGATTGATGAATAGCTTTGTACATGTATACACATACTGTACATACAAACATACAACTAAGTCCTTGACTTACAACCATTGTTTGGTGACTGTTCAAAGTTACAGTGGCGCTAAAAAATTGAATTATGACCATTTTTCACACTGCAGCATCCTCATGGTCACATCACCAAAATTCAGGTGCTTGGAAACTAATTCACATTTATAACAATTGCAGTGTCCCAGAGCCATGTGATCACTCTTTTCAACCTTCAGACAAGCCAAGTCAATGGGAAAGTCCATATTATTAGCTTATCAACTGCAATGATTCACTTAACAACTTATCAATGTGGCAAGAACAGTGATAAAATGAGGCACAATTCACATAACAACTCTCTTACTTAGCAACAGAAATTTTGGGCTCAATTGTGGTTGTAATTCAAGGACTATCTGTAATTGTTACTGTACATCTTTATTAATAAGTTTGCCTACTCTTCCTAGTTTTTCACAATAAATAATAATACAATGTAGTAGTTTTTTGGGGGAAGAGGGGGACAGTGAATGTAACCAGATTTTAAAATATTCCAGATGTTTATGAATTGTTTATTGACAAAAATGACCTGATGGTTTTAGTTTCCTTTAAGACATATGCCTCAACCCATTCTACCCAAGACAACTTCTTTTGATTCAGAAATTTCTAGTTATTAGGAACTGAATGCTATAACTGTTTAAGGGGACAATTTAAAAGTTGAATGTTTAATGGGATTTGAAAGGGAACTAATTATAAGATATGAAGGTGACACCCTCTAATTGGCAACCATAGGGAAAACCTTGGTTTGTAATGTTTGAAATATGGAGGAATTTTGGGGGAAATGATGAAATAAGAATATGTAATGAAATTGTAAACAGGGCAGATAAAAGTACAAGTATAATTATTATGAAGATATGAAAATTTTGAAAAGGAAATGTAATGATTTGAAACGAATGAGAAAGCTATAAAATAAGCCTGAGGGAAGTATTTGAGGAAAAAATCAATAGAGAATATATAGTGATAAGGTATGAAATTGAATATGAAAGATGAATATGTAACTGAGATTATATCTGTTTGGAGATGTGAAAACCTGGAACCATGTTGTTCGCTAAAAAAAGATGTTTTATTTTTGTTTTGTGAAAACCCAAATAAAACTTTATCAAAAAAGAAAAAGAAATTTCAAGTCTTAATGGTGACAGAAATATAAAATATGTTGAATAAGTGTAAGAAATGATATAAAAGAGCAGTATATGAAGATTTATTGATTGCTTGAAGTTTTTTCTTTATGGCATATATTGCCAAAGAATTGAAAAGATGAATACATATTACTCTTCTGATAAACAGGATGTGTATAAAATAGAAATATTTATAAATGCGACTAGGTCAGAATCTCTACAGGTCTTTTAATTTATTTTGGATTGATTTGAGAGGGACTTGTTAATTAAAAAGCAATATGTGCTGTATTTGTAGACTTATTAAATGACATAAAACATTTCAGTTGATTGTGAAACAAATTTATAGGGTACATTGTTTTTGTGCAGGACTATATTTGATGAGAAGAAACTATTAGAGTTTGCCAAACTTGGATGCTATTTAGAATATGACCTTTTTGGAACCGAATTTATTTCTTATCATATGAATCCTGATATTGACATGCCGAGTGACAATGAAAGAATTTTGCGGTATGTATTCCGATGCTGTAACACATTTAGATTAGAACTTTTATTGATGATAGAAATGTCATTGCTATCCAGGTTTAAAAGGCCATAAGATTAGCCCACTTGCAATCGTCTTGTCACATGTGATATCTGTTCATAAATTGTATCATAGTTACCTTTAAAGTTCATGAAAGCCATGGGTCATTATCTGTTCCTCAACCAGGCTACCCAAGGAAATTCTTTGGGTCCTAATGGGACTCCTAAATAAGCATATAGCTTGGGAGCATAACATACCTTGCCATTTCATATTTTGCCAAATTTATGATACATTTTCCCACTATAAAGCATATGAAATGTGTGCTTTGTTATAAATATGTTTTCAGTGGAATGCATGTGTTACACTTAAGATTTTAAGATCACATATGTAAGTACTATGAAAAATTAATGTAAACATGGGACAGAACAGATTTATGATTGAACACATGCAAAACTGGTTTAAAGAAAAAGCAATCTTATCAGTCCAGTTCTTTTCTAGTCATCGTTCAGAGAGAAGTTGGATAGCATTCTTATATGAAAGTTTCTTTTTGGTAGACATTCTTAATCAAGAGGCAGAAAGAGATTATTCTTTCTAAAGGTCGAAGATCTCCTCGGCCCAACAGCTATTAGGGGAAATCTAGCAAAAGCCCTTCCTTCTCAGCCCTTTATATCATTTGTTTAGAAAATTGGCATCATTCATATTGGAACATCTAATTTCACTTGTTGCTTAGATGTTAATGCTAGGCAGTTTCCTTCTTAGTTTAGTTCACAAACCATCCTCATCATCTACTCATAATAGAAACTGTAGTTAGTATCAGTTATAGTTAAGTCATAACACTTGAGGAAAAGGAAGCATGAGTGCCTAAGTAAATGGAATATCTAGTGTTATACTCAAAAGAGTACAGATTGTACAAGAGTTTTATATTTTCATTGGATGCCATAGCAGAAAACTGCATCTCCCTACTCAAAAGAGAACATTTTTATGCACTGTTCTGTTAAGATAAAATGATCCATGTTTTACAATGTGCAGGAAATAAAGGTAAATAATTGTAAAAAAAAAGAAAAAGAAAACATAGGGCATAAAAAAGAAGGTCTCAGTAAATGTATAGTGTACATAAAAAGTCTACAACCCTGTTAAAATGCCAAGTTTTTGAGATGTAAAAAAATCAGACAAATATAAAACACTTCAGAATTTTTTCCACCTTTAATATAACATATAAGCTATACAGTTCAGTTGAAACAAACTGAAATATTTTAGGGGGAGATAACAATAAAAACACATAATAACATAGTTGCATAAGTGTGCACCCTCTTGTAAGTAGGGATGTGATTGTATTCAGAATTAACCAGTCATATTCAAATTAATGTTAAATAGTAGTCAGTACACACCTGCCATCAATTAAAGTGACACTGATAAAGCCCATATTAAGTTTGGTGTGCTAGTTGGATTTTTCTGACAGTTACTCAGTTACTACAAAAGCCATGGTCATTACGGAGCTTACAAAGCATCAAAGCGATCTCATTGTTGAAAAGTATCAGTCAAGTTAAGGGCACCAAAATTTTCCAAGGCATTGGATATACCAAACAGTCATCAACAAGTGGAGAAAATATGGCACAACAGTGACATTACAAAGAACTGGATTTTCCTCCAAAATTCATAGAAAAACAAAAAGAAAATTGGTCCAAGAAGCTGCCAGGAGGCCTACAGCAACTGAGAAGGAGCTGCAAGAATTTTTAGTAAGTACTGATTGTGTACCACATGTGACAACAACGTCTCGCATTCTTCATATATCTTCATATATCTGGGCTGTGGAATAAGGAGGCAAGAAGGCAAAGAAAATCATTGTAAATTTTTTGTAAAAACCTACATCAAGTCTGACAAATTCATGTGGGAAAATGTATTATGGTGATAAGACCAAGGTTGAACTTTCAGGCCATTATTCCATAAGTCGGATTGGCACAAAAGAGCACTGCAAATCATCAAAAGTAGACCACACCCACAATAAAACAGCAGTGGCAGCAGTATGTTTTGTGGCTGTTTTTCGTCAGCTGGAATTGGGGCTTTTGTCAAGGTGTAGGAAATCATGAACAGTTCTAAATATGAGTCAATTTGGCACAAAACCTTCAGGACTCTGCTATAATACTGAAGATGATTAGGAATTTTGCCTTTCAACATGACAGTGACCCAAAGCATACCTCCAAATCAACAAAAGAATGGATTCATCAGAAGAAGACGTAAGTTTTGGAATGGCCCAGCCAGAGCCCAGACCTGAATCCAATTGAAAGTCTGTAGGATAACCTAAAGAGAAGATACCCTCACAATCTGACAGATTTGGACTTCTTTTTGCAAGGAAGAATGAGCAAAGATTCCTAAGGGAAGATGTGCTATGCTGATAGGCTCCTACCGCAAAAGACTGAATGTTGTATTAAAATCAAAAGATACTTCACCAAAGCTTAATGATGGGAACACTTACATAACCATATTATTGTATGGTTTTTTTGTTATTTCTCCTCTAATTCTATTCTATCCTATCCTATCCTCTAAAATATTTTAGTTTGTTTTTCAATTTAATTGTAAAACTTATATGTTATATTAAAGATGAAAAATTCTGAAGTGATTTATCTTAATCTGATTTTTTTTTACATCTCAAAAAATTCAACTTTTAAGAGGGATATGTAGTATATACCTGAGGACTCCAACCTTGGCAACTTTAAGATTTGTGGACTTCAACTCCCAGAAGAAGTCCACAAGTCTTGAAGTCCACAAGTCTTAAAGTAGCCAAGGTTGGAGACCCCTGGTATATACCATATTTTATGTACTTTAACAAATGCCAAAATGTAAGTTGTTGAACAAGTAGATTTCTTAGTTCTGGGACAATTGGTTTAACCAGGTAGCTGGGCATATAAAATCTATCAGGTTAATAATATTTTGCTTTTTCTTAAGGGAATTAAAATAGGTAAATAGAGAGCATAGTCTATGTTTCTGTTTCTTGTCAGCTTATCCTATGATTGATGAACATGAAATCATTCTTACATTATCTGCTACTTACTTTCAGTTTATTTGATAGAAAAGTCATTAGTCAGTATAGCAATTTTACCTTCAGCAGCCAAAGCTCTGAATTACTTTTGAGCCAATGATTATCAGCCTAGCCTTACCAGAATGGTCTTCACTGAGGGTGGCCAAAGACAATATAAGGAGGCAAAATGACTTTTATACACTTATTTATGCTACAACTATTTTTGAGTGGCTTTGGGGGATTTCAGTTATTTGTTGAAGCAGATACTACAACAAATATTGTTTCAGTTGGCCTTCCCATAGTTGTACTAATCGATCTATGTGTCTATAAAATTGGAGAAGAACTTTTTTTCCAATGCAATTCCCAATCAGCTTTGCTAATTTGAAAATGAGGTGGGAGAGGGCCATTTAATTTGCATGGAAATCATTTAAAGATGTGTCTTGATAGAGCATAGATTTGTTCCTCTGTAGTTTTACAAATGTTATTGAAGAATGAAATAATTCTGCTATGGTGAGAAATTACATGGAGAGAAATTTATTTCTCCTTCAACATATAGTCATTAGAACCAGATTGCTTTAATTATTTGAGTTATCCAAGGAAGTTCGACAAAGGATAAAATATTACTTTCTGTAATACTATATAAGTATTTGTAATGTTTCATAGCTCTCTTCTGGTTTTAATGGTTGCATAGATCTCAGTTGTATCCTTCAGTAAGCAAGATGGACAACTCCCATTGCTTGAAGTCAAATAGTCTGACTTCATTTATCTCACTGTGATCATGAGGTTTCTTCTAATGAGGCGCTGGCTATTACAAATCCATCCAATTATCTGAAGTTCAATGATTTCAGTGCAGAAAATTGGTCATGTTCCAATTACTGAACCATGTAAACATTCCAGTATGTATTTGGTTAAATTACTTTCATACTGTGTTTGTAGGGAAAAGATACTCCCAAGTGCACTGATTTAAAAAAGAAAAACACAAATCATTATTGAACATTTTTGTTAATCAGACTCCTCAACTGACCTTGACCTCTTATTCAGAACTATAGGAAACAATATTTCTCATAATGGCTGTTCATGCATCTGTGGTGTTCATTGTTGTATGGCTATGTGGGATATCTGACACAAGCTGTTTTTAAATAAATTGGTCATGTACCATCCTCATGCACCAGAAAGTTCAAAGGGGTATGTTAATGCACAATAAAAATTGTATGACTGAAGGCCAAGCTCTTGATACTATAGACTTGAGACAGTACATGTATGTGTGGCATATTTGTTAAATTTATTTTATTAATTTATCTTGCCAATTAGACCAGATATCTCTTCCCATTCAACTGTTGGGCTTCATCAGTATGTCACTTAGTTTAGTCTAGATATTCAGTCCAACTAAATTTAATTTCCTTCAAAGAAGTGGTCTCATTTGAAAAAATACAGGTGGTCTTAAACTTATGACCATAATTGAGCCCCAAATTTCGGTTTCTAAATGAGATGTTTTTAAGTGACCTTTTCTCCATTTTTTGATTGTTCTTGCCATAATTGTTGAATGAATCTTTGCAGCTATTCAGTAGGTAACACAATTGTTAAAGGAACCTGACTTCTCCATTGATTTTGCTTTTCAGAAGGTCACGAAAAGTAGATCACATGACCCGAGGATGCTGCAACCATCATAAATCCATGCAAATTTTGATCACATGACTATGGGAATGCTGCAATGGTCATATGAAAAGTTGTCAAAAGTCATTTTTTTAGTGCCATAACTTGAAACAATCACTAAATGAACAGTTATAAGTCAAAGTCTACCTGTACTTTGTAATTCATATGCAAGTAGAATACTTATAAATATTCAATTCACCAACTTAATATTTAGGAAACAAAAACTTTGGAGGTTTTCCACTCTATAGCCATTCACACAACCCAGAATTCTTGGAAATCTGACTTAACCATAAATAAACAGGTGTTGATATTTTATTCAGCTCATCCTGCTAGCAAGAATGCATGATTTGCTTACCTTTCTGCCTGAAGCAGTAAATCTGCTTGCTTCTCTAAGATGGAAGACTCCTAAGCCAAGTATGCATTTATTCCAGCTTAATAATAGATAAATAAGTCAGAGTTCTCAACTTATATATAGCATTAATTGAACCACAGAGTTGTCCAGTTTTTTCTGCTATGGTATCACTGAAGTGAGAAGGGTTATATATAGTGTTTATTAACAGAACAATAGTAATTCATGACCATCCCAGAATTCACAAATTTTCTATGTATAAAGCTGGTCCAACTGCTTTTCAGTATAGGAGAATAAGTGATTTCAGTAAAAAATATTGTTGAAATCTATTGCCAGAGATTATTTCTTTTGAATTTGAAGCATTTATTCAATGTTTTCTTTTTTTGCAGAGTTCGAACATTGATTGAAGAAGGTTATGATGACAAAATTGTGATTGCTCATGATATTCACACAAAACATAGACTAAAGAAATATGGTGGCCATGGCTATTCTCATATTCTTGAAAATATTGTTCCGAAAATGCTCATGAGAAGAATATCTCAAAATAAAATTGATAAGTTATTGCTAGAAAATCCCAAACAGTGGCTAACTTTTAAATAAGAAAACTGTGGTTCTGTTTCTTTCAGTGAATGTAAAAAAAAGAATTGAAATTCTTCTTGGATTGAGAAAAATATAATTGTATTTTTGGAGTACAGAATAAGAAAATAAGATTTGTAATGCCTGAACCCCAACTTTTTGATTGTATGATTGCAATGTAAAACAACTTCAAAATAGATGTATTTCTGGGGGGAAATGTGTTTAATGAAATGTTAATATGAAGATAGAGCGTACCATGTGAATGAATCAAAATTACTTTTTAATGGCCTTGTATGGAATTAATTGGATGGAAAACATCCATTTGAATTAATCAGAATGAGGGACAGTCATGATCTAAGTCACAACTGAATGTAAATGCCATTGTGTTGTGTGTAAAATCCTTGATAAAACTACTACAAAGTGTTATCCTAACATGAAATGCATTGTATATCCAGCAATAAATGCTTCCTTGCCTCATGTTATACTGTACATGCCTATTTAGAGATTCATTTGAGCAAAGCACGTATATAAAAAACTTAAAATGTGAGTTCGGCCTTTCCATTTGCAAAATGCAACACTCAGCATTGCATTTCAAGGTGCAGTTGATACTTTTGCTTTCCTGAAAAGCAGCCTCTCTGCATAGTTCCACCTACTTTTCTGAAACATAATTCTTCTATGGCTTGAAATATTGACAATTTGGATATAATCTTCCTGTTTTGCTGTGAGTATGTTTGAATTGCATATCTTCTCCAACTAAGTGAAGTTATGAGATTCAGAACTGAATGTCAGAATTATTTTCATGGGGGTCTTTTGGGGGTTTTTTTGGAAGCAGTTCTTGGTATGGCAAACTGAAAAGTAAATAATGTCTGTATCAATGACATTATCAAGAAAATTTCAATAGGATTATCAAAGTAATCTTTCAAGATCTATTGATATGTTATGAAATTCTTTTAATGCAACATAGTGTGAATAATGACATTTGGCCCTTTTAAGGGAGTTTTGCCAAGTAAATAGGAATTTGCCAGGTAATCACCAGGATCAGAGAGGACGGGAGGGAGAGAAAAGGAAGGGAGATAGGTTGTAGGAATCAAAATCTAATATTCAAGTGAAGTTAAGAGATGCTAAGTTGCACAAACAAATACATAGGATTGCAAGTTTAAATGTATGGTTATGAAGAAAAAGAAGAGTGAATTCAAACTAACTTCTGAAAATATATATGGAATATATTGGATTGTACATAAATAAATTCCATTTCACTGGAGATGTTCTTGATGTGGTGATCCTAAATATATTAATAGGACAGATTTTTAAATTGATTTTGGCAAAAATTACTTTCTTGAAAGTGCATTGAAGAATAGATATAACAAACATATCAGGAATTTACTTTAAGGTGCTCAAAAGCCAGTTTGGTATAGCAAATAAAGGTGCCAGACTAGAAATCGGAGACCGTGAGTTCTCGTCTTGTCTTAGATACAAAACCAATTGGGTGACCTTGGGCCAAGCCATCTCTCAGACCTAGTGAGAAGGAAATGAAAAGCCACTTCCAAAACATACTGCCAATAAAATAGCAATGACTTGTCTGTATAGTTACCAGGAATCAAGATTGATTTAAAGTATCTTCATAAACAGATTTATAGAGCCTATTTATTTAGTCACAGCAGCATCTGGGCAGACTTTGTCTGGGTTTCAAAACTAAGAATTATTATTTAGCACTTCAATAGGAGATTAATAAGGAATTCCAGGGCTGCTGAAAACAGAGTAACAAGAGTTTGAAGGGACCTTGGAGGTCTTCTAGTCCAATGACAGGAAACCCTATACCATTTCAGAAAAATGTTTATTCAATCTTTTCTTTAAAATCTCCAGTGTTGGAGCAGCCATGGTTTCTGGAGGCAACTCATTCAGTGATTAATTGTTCGGAATTTCTACGAGAAATTCAGGAAATTTCTCTTTAGATCTAGGTTGTTTCTCTGCCTGATTAGTTTCCATCTATTGCTTATCAGGTAATTTGGAGAATAAATTGATCCCCTCACTCTTGTGGCAGCTCCTCAAATATTGAAACACTGCTATCATGTCATTCCTAGTCCTTCTTTTCATCTCTTCAAGTATCTGAGAAGAAGGCATGACTGTCATGCTCTTGCTGAAGAAAATTGCATGGATAGAGGACTCAATTTTTGACTTTTTCAAATAATATCCTATATAAAATCATTAAATATATGGAAAATTGTTTATGGAATATAACTGAAATAGCTCATTGAGTTCATTCCACAAAAATAGGCTTAAATGTACCATATTTGAAAATCTCTTTACACATATTTTACACATCGTATTTCATATTCTCTGAATACCTGTTTGCATTGGATTGATAACGAAACATCACATGTACAAGTTTAGCATCTTAAAATATGCACTCCTGTACATAAATACTCAGAAGTAAGTCCTATTTGAATCACTGGGGTTAAATTGTGATTAAGTCAGTAAACAAGTCTAGAAGTCTCATAACTGAGTTCAGAGCCTAATTATAGACAATGTTTTTAATATATAAAATCTTAACATTTAAATTAAACAAAAGAAAATAATTAGAAACGTACTGGATTATTTGCTGGAGATTCATTTTTTAGATGACCTTACTTTATGAAATGTATTATATAGTATTAACACAGATTGGGAGCAAGATTATTATTATAAGATCATTATAAACTATTATAACACCTGACAAATCTTCAGGTCACTCCCAAAGATACTTGATAGCATCATGGAGTTTGTGTGGTATTTCTTTTGATACAACAGAACAACAAAATACTACGTATGAACTACTGTTAAAGCAATTTACTTCTGAGCAGATTTGCATAGGATTGTGCCGCAAGCTGCTGCCCCCCCCCCCCCGTTTATCTAGCTAACTGTAGGTGGGATGCTTCCTGAAGTGCTAAACTGTACCGAATTAGCCTGCGCAAATTAGATTTTAAAAGCCCATCTAATCAGTTCTATCCATAACTACCTATATTATGTCACTGCTCCACCACTGGGATGAAGTTTGCATACGACTGTAATTGTAAATTGAATTGTAAATGGCATGCAGGATGAGATTTGTAGAAAAGAGCGAACTTAAAAGTGTTGAAGAAAGCTATTAAATTCTTAGGAATTGACAAGATGCAGCTAGAAAAACTGAAATTTTTTTCACACTGTTGTAACTATGATGCTGCCCAACATAATGATTCAACATTTAACTCGTGCCAAACTGCTGCTCCTTGGTATCTACATCATAAATCCTATCCCTTTTAATTTCTTATAAAGAGTAATCATATTCTTAATAAATATTAGAAATAATACTGCCAACACTCCTAGCCCCAGAATATATCATATTCTTAATAAAATATTAGAAATAATACTGCCAACACTCCTAACCCCAGAATATATGCCATTTTTAATTTCATATTTTGTTTTCACGGAATGCAATTGTTTTATTATTGTTTCTGTCTCTTGCTTTGCATACAGAAATCTGCCCAATGACTTCATGTTCATATTTGTGGACTGTTCTTACTCTGTTCAACTAAATGGGACAATCCTCCTGGTTCTAGGGGGTGGGATATGCCTGTAAGGAATTATATAATATTAACACTTGCATAATATTGAAGCAATAACAGAAAATGAGACAATTGTGCTGTAGTTGTATTTTCATCTAAGTGCAACAACAATAGAGCTAAGCTTTGAAGGAGCCCTGTTTCCTATTTCTAGATAGCCAAGGAACCAAAACATTAGGCAAATATATCCCTTGGAAGGAACAGCAGAATTTCCCTTTACAGCTTCCTTTCATCAAAAAAACATTCCTAACCAGATACTCAGAATTGGCTCATAGTTAGCAGATAAGTCAGAAGCACCAAAGCTGATGGATGAAGAAAAGCAGCATGAAATCATAGCACACCAAGGATATTACATATGCTGAAGAAATAATTTGGTGTTTTTTTTTTCTTTCTCTCTATAAAAAATTGTGATTTATATAGAACTTCATTCACATGAACATTAACAACAAGGACTATTTTGCTTTGGTGATAGTAGATCACACACCTCTTACACTTGTTCTATTTTTTTAAACATCTTTCTCTGGGTTGTACAGATATGGGTTAGGTAGCATTTGGCTTCACTCCTTGAGAGTCTACGACCAATATCCCTTGGAATTTCTTGATCCTTTTATTTTGCCAAGAGAATTGATCATTAGGTCAATTATTTTGTATTTAATATCAGTCAGCATAAATTATAAATCCAGAAAATGTGCTGTATTTGTTGTTGTTTCCTCCATGTGCTTTTCCACCATCTAATTTTATATAGACTTCATCTCCCGGTTCCAAATGTAGGACCACGCTGTTGCTGGCATAATCATAGTTTTGATCTGCATCTTGTGCAATGGCACTAGCTCGCACCTATATAAAATACAGAAAAAAAGACTGTTCATAATTTTAGTACTTGTCAACACTCAGGAATGAAACTGTATGTTCACTTACAAGTTCCAACGTATATTTTTGGTATTTTTTCCCTTTACTACTGCAGTCAACATTTCACAAATGAGTCAGTTTTAACTGTAGTAACGCCTAGTACAATAACCAACAAATAATTTTTTATCTGAATATTGCAGGTTCTATCCCTAAACAGAAGTAATTAACATATCTGAAATCCTTTTAAACTCATAAACTATGTTCTGCATGGACATTACCCCATTTAGTTTCATATGACCTGCTGAGAAGTGTGAGTTGTAACAATGAGCTGGATTCAAAATAATTACTCCAAATCTCTAACCAGCTATTTTAGTGAACTGCCAATTTTAATCTCTTTTCCCAATCTGACATTCTTTAAATATATTTGGGTTTTGCAAACTCAACACTTTTACAAGTTTCATTGGATTTTTCATGGAAGTTCCAAATGATGTGTAATATATGGTTCTTGAAATAATGATATCATATGATATGGAAAATTATAATGCAAAGCTGTTTCATTATTACATTATTTCACTAGAAATAATCTGACTGATTTTTTTCACCTGATAAAACTAGAGTTGTATCAATATGATACTGTATATGATTCCTATCAGTTCTATATCCAAATCAGGCCTTGTGGATAAAACAAAGCATGCAAGATTATAGAAGTGTGAAGACAATCAGCTTTGGATTGCTTTGGATGCTTTTAGATCTGAGTCAAAAAACTTTTAATGCTCTTCAATAAAAAAAAGATCAAATTGAAATATGGATCATCTGAAAAAGCAATGAATGTTAAAATCACAAAGCAACTATCACTATTTTTAATATTAAAAGATTTTCAGTAAATTAATCTTGAAATAAATATTGTATAGGCTTTAGATTCTAGTCATATACAATTATTAAAGCCTTTAAACTCAAGGTTTGTTTTAAAATATAAATCATATTGCATTAACTATACTTAACAAATAAGATCTTTGAAGCTGCTAATACTTCTGATATCAGCTCAGCATATAACCAAACAAGAATTACAGCAGATTGTTTATATGTACTTTAGATGCACAAATAACTATTTTAACCTTCGATTATCATTTTTGCAGTGTATTTATGGTTTTATCCTATTCTTTAATAGATCTGTGATTAATGGTTTTGGGTGTCTGAACTAAAAAAAATAGTTCAAAACCTGATATACACTCTTGTGGATATTTTTGGAATTGGAAGAAGGACAATATGTCAAAAATGCCAATACATGCCTTTCAGAAGTATAAATGATAGGTTTTCAAATTAAATGTTTATATGTATCCCCATGTTAGTACAGAAATCTTTACAATGTATGAGTTTCTACCATGCAAGAGCACACAGTGGATTAGAAAGCTTAGAAATCACAGAAGCAGGAGAAAAAAAAACTCTTCTGCGTTGCATGCTTCAAGGCGGCTTATAAGATTTGCAATTACCTTGAATATGTTCCAATTAAGCTGCCATAATGTAAAGTAATATCCAAGCAATACAATTTTTGATTCATTGCTTCAGAAATAATTTACTATTTATTGAGGTGATCTGTCTTGACTACTTTTCAATCAATAAATATCACAAGGGATATTTCCTAAAAATGAAGAAGCTGAGAATGGCTGAGAACCTTACAATATCAATGCTTGAAATGCACATCCTTTGGATCTATGCTTTTTCTGAGGTAATAATTCTTAATAATAAAGAGGAAGATGATACCTTTTGGTGTATGTGAATGATTATTGCAACGTGAGGTGAAATAGTGCTTACATTTCATTAGGTTTAAGTATTTAAATTATATTCAAACTCCATGTGCTTCATCTAAATATATGTTGGAATTGCATAATGCTTGATATTACAGCTGATAATATTGCTGCTTTTATCATGTGACATAAACTCTACCTTTAGCATTAAATATTTTAGCTTTATACATTATGAGAAAATGGACAGATATCTCAGAAATGCATAGTATTACTTACTGTACACTATCTACTATCATAGAATAGATACTATAATAAGAGAACTGAGAAAAAACAGTCCAAACAATGCAATAGCTTTCTATTTAGCTACTGGGCCTTGCATCTGCATTAACCTGAATCCCATACTGTGTACTATCTTTATAGCTTTTTCTCTTTTGTTTTGTTGTTGTGGGTAGACAGCATAATCTCTTTTTAAAACCTATAAGGACAGCCCCAGAAGAATATTCCAAGCTGTATTGCTGTACATGTTAAAGGCATCTCCAAATTAAAACAATGTGGTGTACATTACATAAGTTCATGACTGCTCACCTCATTGGGCTATAAAGGTATACAGGGACAGTCAAACTGCAAACAAACTAATTATGTTGTTGTCTCAGCAGTTCTATATTTATGCTAACTATTAAGGAAAGCAATAAGCTATGTGGGAACCTTTAAATATTCAATATGTTTCTCTTAAATATTTTCTTCTTTACAAGTCACATATAATTCAGGACTGATATTTTTCTCCTTGCTATGCAATCTATAACACTTTGACCTCTTAAAAAGATAATCTGTCCACCCTACCAATAATTTCTAAAGAAAATTCAATTTTTACAGTTCATTAGCTATCAATGCTATAAGATCAAATCATTGCCCTTAGAATATCAATGGATTACAGCTAGTCACTAATATTAAAAAAAATGGTTTAAGGATTGCTTATGCCTGCATAAATATGAACTGAATTCAGTACTAGCAAGATCAATATTTGCGTGTTTGTTTGGTGACTGAATTAATTTATAAATGTCTGGAGCTATAGACTTAGTCTATTTTCAAGCTAATATGAACATTTGTTTTCATACAATATGCCATGCACTAGATTTTGTTTTATTTTTATTTTGGTCAAATTTTAAATAGAAAAAAGTTTTCTTTGTAATCTGATATAAATGTGAGAACTGTACATTAACCATTATAATTAATGTAAACCAATATATGGTATTTTTCAGTGAGACTTTATTTTATTTTATTATTATGTGTATACTTCCATAATTTTATTTTTCATGTATTACTCAAGCTATATACACAAGGTTAAAAGCCATGTATGATTAATTTATCATCCTCTGATGACCCCATCTGTAATATGCAGTCAATCCAAAATTGAGGTGATTAAAAAGTGCTCCTCTGGGCATAGTACATTGGTATTCTGCAAAAAAAAAAAAACCTTCAGTAATTTCCTATTTCATTATTCTTCTTTTCAGGAAAAGGGTACCTTCCAATTTCCATATTTGAGTTTTTGCAAGATACAGGTTAAATGCAGGAAAATCACTCTCTGTTCTAGCTATAATTTTAACACAAATGCATAAACAAAAAGCAAATATGAATTATTTCTGGTTTCTCTTAATCTAGAAATGGCGATAAGAGAGAAAATAGCCATTTGTTTTCAGTACAACAGTTCACACAGTTTGCTTACCTGAACTCTTAAGTGTAAAACTCTGTAGTATTTCCTGATAAGGATTGTGAAATCAGCATATTCAGTAGATTAAGACAAGTGTTACAAGTTGGCATTATGTCATCAACTTATAATTTTACTTTGACTTTCAAGTAATTATTTGGACATTCACTTTTCAAGTTCATTTTCATCATAAACCATTGCATTTTTGTGGGAACAAATCCATCTAGGCATGAATACTGTTTTTTTTCTTAGCATATAATTATCAATCACGCTTACACAGACATTAATGAATACAAACAATTAGCATATAGATGACATCTATAAAGTTATATGCAATCATTATTGTCCATGTAAGTAAGATATATAGAGGTAACACAACCATAGTATGATTAAAATTTATGATTACTAGGTTCCATTTTATGAACTTTTCATGATCTTTAGTATCAGGAGAGGAGTTCTGCTTTGACTTTTACCAAAAACTTTGGGAAAGCAGAACAATTATACCTTCTTTAGAAAGTCTAAAGAACACAGCACAAAACCTGATTTCTAACAAAACTCTGACAAAATAAGACCAAAAGATTCAATAAATCAAATGGAGATTGTCCATTTAAAATAATTGGGCCTGTTTAATTATATTTTAGCATTGATATCACTATGTCTATTTCAAATCTAGTATAGTCAGTAAGTTAGAACTAAACTTATAAATGCCAATTCTCAGTGCACTTATTTGCAATCCCAAAGGGAACTATGGTTCAATAAGCATGTACAGATATTGCATTATGGTATTCTAAAATGTTGAGTTAATTTTATGCTTATAAAACTGGGAATAATTCTCTCAACTTCCCAAGTTTCTCCAGACTTTCATTTCATTTTTGTCTTTTCCATTTCTTTTGCGCTTACTGGTCCCTTAGCCTAAAAACTCCCCAAAGTGCGCTGAAGCCTAAACGCTGGTAGAACATCCACCCACCCATCCCCATATACACACACGGGTCGCTTCCCTTCTTCACCCAATTTTTTCGTGCCTGATATACATAGGTTTGCCGGAGACTCCTTCGAAAACGCTCAGGTGTGAGTGGAGTGAATCCTGGGCGCAAGGGAGTTCTACCAGAAACTGGCCTTTGAAGGGGAGAGATTTGACGTCTGCTGCACTACATTCATCTCAAAAAGTCTATTTCCTCCCCCAACCCTCTGATAAATGATAAAAGCCCCTGGGAGCATTTGGAACTAATAAAGGGCTCTTTGTTTCCAGTCTGGGCCGCCGCGCCAGGAGGCCCTTGGGAAAAGAAAAGCGAGGCGCGGTTGAAAGAAGCCGCTCGACCCGCCGAGCGCAGCCTTTTGCCTCTCGCTAGCTGGGTTGTCTTGCTACCATTTCTCCTCTCCTCCTAAGCCTCCTCCAACGAGCCGGGGCTTCTAGCCAAGCTTCGCCCGCGCTTCGTGCAGATTTGGGGAAGAGACGGCTTCTTGGATAGTGAAACCGCTATCGCAAGGAAGAGGAGGAGGGCGCTCCTAGAAGGCCCAGTTGAAACAGGCGCTCCTGGTTTCCTTCTCCCTCCATAGTTGTGTGGTATTGTAGCAACTTCTCCGTTGTCGTGCATATAAGACGGTTTTTCCTGCATGTGGCGATGCTTCTGAAGTTACAGCCCCACACCTAGACCTTTAAGGTTTCCCCTCGCCTGCTTCCTATGAGAAGGTGGATCGCCCACTTGCCCGCTCAACCTCAAGGGAAGGATGTTTCCCTTTCCACTGGCTCACTCTTTCCCGCGCCCATCTCCAGATTGCCCCATTTTTCCACGCAACAGCAAATGCTCCCCGGCAGGGCCCAACGCCCCGTCCCGCCTTACACCCCATCTACTTAAACCCTGGTTAGACTACCTTCCCTATGTCTGCCCCACCCCGCAATAAGACTCCTAAGATTTTCCCTTCCCGCTTGCTCGTCTCAGAAAACAATTTAAAATGCGCACAATTTAAATCATTCACCCCAAGACTCCCTCCACGCCAGGTGTCCAAGAGCCGGTGTCTTCCATCAGAAAAAGGAGCGTACTGAAAGCGAAGAACCGCTTCTAGGCCCACTTGCTCTGGGCGTAATGCCAGGTGACTCACGGATCAACAAGGCGGAGCCCTTCAATCGGTGCCCTCCGGACGCTACACCCCCGTAATGCCTGGCATGGGCAACAGACACCCTGCTTTGGGAATGGGGCGTAATGTGATACAGCTGCCTACATCTTTCGCTCTTGGAGATCTGGAAGACAGCCAGAAGGTTGGGGGAAGCCCAAGTCACAAGTAGGCAGCAAGTAAGCAGCAAACTTTACTTCGCTATTCACACACAAACAGTGAAGCCCGATTAAAGTCCCAGACCCATTCCCGTGTACACCTATTCCCATGTATAATTATTCCCGTGTACACGACCATTAGCGATAGCTGCGCAGTGTTCTCACACACCGTTAACAGCCGGCTATCCAAATAAGGATTTGTGAAACTTAACATTTTTTTTTCATTTTTAAAAAGGTGTGCGTGCGTATTTGTAATTTCCCAAAAGAAAGAATATATCCCTGCCTCCAAGATAACTAGTAGTCAAAAATCAAGAAATCTCAATTATTCGCTGCCTTGTTGATAAAACGCTGCTGTTCTGAACCGAGCAATCAAAAGCAGCAGCAGCTAGAACCGAGGTAGGAGAGGGGTTGTTTTTTTCTGTCCTGAGGCCACAACCGAATTAATGTTTATTAACATTTTCACCGAAGGACTGAGTTGCTACCAAGGCCTGCCCTCATAGTCTGATTTGGTAGGTAACCTCGATTTGGGTCCTTTAGTGCGCCACCTTCCCAAGTCCCCCCTTGCCAGCCTAAACCCCTACCAAGATACTGCCAATTACAGTGCCCACAGGGCCTCCTCTTCCGAATTACCTTCCAGTTTCCTCAGGGCCATAGCTCTGTTAGCCACGCGAGCATCTATCCTGGGGCTTTCTCTTTAAGACTCACCTCTTCGGAAGTGTGCAAAAATCCACAAAGGATTGTACCTTCCTGTGCCTGCAGAGAGGAACCTAGTTTTGTTCTCACTGGATCTTCAGCTTCCAAAGCTATTTTTATTTTCCTGAAGGGTCTCCTAACACTTACAGGTCGAACTCTGTGTCTGTTAAGAGGTTTTTTTTTTCCCCCGTTGTTTTTTTTTTTTTTTTGATCTGCTTTCTCTAGCCGAAGTCGGCCAGAGGCAGCTGCTGTGCGAGACGTAAATGCAACCTGCAGAAGTCCAACCAATGCAGCTATCTACCCCGCGCGGGGCAAGCGACAGTAGTTGGATTTTTGCCTCTCCAGGAAGAACTTTAGGCGAGAAAATTAGAATCTCTCCCCCCACCCTCCCCGCTCCGCCGGGGCTTATTTCTGCGCCCTGGAGCTCTCCCCGGTCCCACCTGATTATTCTTGCAAAGGTCAGCCCACATGCTGGTGCCGTCGCCGCCCCGCATGAGCACGTGGTAGGTGAAGAAGTAGATGCCCGGGATGGAACAGGTGAACTTGCCGGTCGTCGGGTCGTAATGGTTCCCCAGGTTGGTGACGACGTCGTCGAACTTCAGGACCTCGTAACCCTCGTGCTGGCGCTTCAGGCCCGCGTAGAACGCGATCTTGGGCACCGTGCTGTAAGTGGCGGCGCTAATCGCCCCGGCCGCGTTCAGGCCAGGCGCTCCGGCCGGCCCAGGTAGACCCTGGCGCCCGGGCTCGCCTTTGTCTCCTGGCGGGCCCACCGGCCCCGGCGGACCTGGTTCCCCCGGGGGCCCCCGAGGCCCGGCTTTACCCGGCCGTCCGGCCTCACCCTTGGGCCCTTGGATGAAGGTGGGCAGCGACTGCATGAGGCCGCGATCGGGCGTGGCCGCCGTGCTGGGAACCTTGGTTCCGCCGTAGGGGTCGCAGACCATGCGGCAGGTGCCCAGCATTTCGTAGTGCGCCGATGTTCCCGCCGAACTCACCAACACCGGGATGAGGATGACCAGCAGAAGCACCATGACCACCCCTAGCGCACCGGCTGCGATCAGCCGGCGCCTGCTGCCCACCAGGCGGCTCAGCGCAGGGCGATCCTCTTGCCTGCTTTTGGACAAAATCTTGATGGTGGGTCGGGAACCTCTTCCAGCCGAAATCACCGCGGGGTAGCCTCCCCGCGTCCGTGGGGCCTTGTCGCCCTCTTCCTCCCGTCGACCGGGAGGGGCACGCGGGCTGATCTCCTTCGCCAGATCCCGAAGCTCCGGGAGCCTTGCTCCGCGCTGCTGTCGTGGATGGCTTGGCTTTCCGTCTGGGGCACCTGTGGCTGCCGCTGCTTGTTAGGCTGAGTGGAGTCGCTCACACTTTTATGCTGCGGCTGGCAATCGACTTTTTTTTTCCCGTCTATGCCAGCTCGAATCAACTTCCCTTCTGCTCCTCCCGGTCGCTTCTTTTGCAGTCTTCTCGCGCGGGTCGCGCCCCCCCTCTTTTCTTCCCTCCCTTCTTTTATTTCTTTTTTTTCTTTCTTTCATTCATTCATTCATTATTACTCTTCTGCAGCGACACCAAATCTCCGAGGGCAGCGGGGAGAAGAGCGCGTGGGAGCCTGGGAGATTCCTGCTCTCCACTCGTGCCGGGGAGAAGGAAGGAAACGGAGGTTCCTCTTCAAGCCCTTGCCGGCTCGCTCCTTCACCGATACTGCTGGAGGGTCCCCAGTCGGGAAGCCCCGCGCGCTGGAACGGAACACAGCGACGAGCGCACGCAGCCCGCTACCGCGACAAGAGGAGGCTGCTGAAGGCGCGGGGGTAATTTATAAGCACCCAAAGGCGCAGGGGAAAGAGGAGTTGCTTTGGCATCTCATCCCAGCATCTGCTGCGCTCAGCCCACTCACCGAGAGTTTGGCATCTCTGACAAGTATGGGGAAATGTTTTCCTCCCCTCTCCTTTTTCTCTGCCTCCCCCTCCCTGTTCATCCCTTCTCACTGAGCAATGAAATGGGGAGCTTTCCTCTTGCCCGTTCCTAAATGATGTGGCCGTTTTCTTGCTGGAGTAGCTCATGGAAAGTAGAGAGATCCACTTAGGACTTTGATCCTGAATATAAAGGTCAACGCTGCTCCTTATTTAATGGTTCCCCCAGTGGCCTCTGTCTGTCATGTGAAATATCACTTTGAATACTAGGGTTGTGTATTGCAATTCACCTGACAACCCAGTGTGCGCATACACACACACACACACACACAGACACACACACACTCTGCTGTTTCTTGAAGTAACCCATGATTTAAAGCACACAGAAAATCTCATTTCTTGCTTTCTTGCTCTTTTTTCTGGAAATCACAGCCCCCCTTCCCATATTCAATAAATTTTTGAAGCCATGATAGATGTTGCTTCCTGGATTCCTCTTTATTTAAACAGGCTTTCTAGACCATCCCGGTGGTAGAGCTGAGTGTGTTTTCCTGGCATGGTAAACATGTATCACCACATCATTTCTTCCTATCTCTGGAGCAGGGAGTATATTGAGCTTCTTCCAGATGCAAGGCAGAAGAAGGCCACCTTAAACCACACAAACAATTGATTGTAAATTATGCTTCTACATTCAGGCTCAATTGCATGTCAGTTCAATGATGGGTGACATTTGCCTGTCAATATGGAGATGATGGTTTGAAAGAGTGGGAGAAATTAGAAGCAAGGTAAGAATCTGAAATAAGCAAAAGTAGTGTGAAAGTGGGGAAAAAACAGTAGCATCACACCTGGTGCGTGTTGACTAAGAAGCTGTGATCTTGTCCAAGTTGTTGCATTGCACAAATCTCTTCTTTACACACCTCCTTACACTTCAACTCCCCATTTTCTCTCTTTGTTTCCACAAGACAATAAGGTCAAAGAGGCAGACAGCAGGAAATATCTATTGATCCTTCCTTTTAAGCAGAAATGTCAGCAGCTTCTTGCATTTTTCCTAAAGAGAATCAAAAGATGAAGAAGTGTGTGACCAATGCAGGCCATAGAAATGGGTTGACCCAACCCCTTATCTCAACAGCATGCTGATAAAAAAAAGGGAAAAAGGTCTGATTTCTTCACTTGTAAATATTCTTGCCAGTTCTCTTGTTCTGATTTTTGTCAGAGTTCAACCTTTTATGATGTCTGTATCTCACAAACACACAGCCCAGTTGGCAGATCCCTTGGCCTTCAGTGCCCCCCCCCTCACTGGCACATCTTGAAAGAAAGATTGGGGAGAGAAATGTTACTAATGCTATATCAGTTTCTCCCAAGAGGAAAACATTTTGAAGCATTTAGTCTTTGTAAGGAAAGGAATAACAGATCTCAAACATGCATTCAGTTTTCCATAGTATTCACATGGTGTTTTCATAATATTAAAGTTGGTTATAAGTCTTCCACCTTCTATGTGCTGAAATGAATATACCCATCGATTGTGGATTTCTGGTTAGCTAAAAAGAAGCACTTTCTAATGGGGATGGGGGAAGGTTTCCCAAATGCAAAGAAATAGTGATAGAAAAAGGAAACTCTAATAAGATATGCTTCCCAGAAAGAAGACAGATTAATAAGGACAGGCGGAATAGGTGATTGGATGGGGGACGAAAAGAATGGAATACACAGAAAAAGCAGGACAATTGTCTGACTAACCCTGGTTACACTGTGCTGCCACATTTTGCTGCAGCTCTTATTTGTCTTCTTTACAGTAATACCAATCTGTAAAAGTTGGAATGGCCCTATATACATCATGCCCATGTTGCCTTAGGAAACTTTAATGAGGCTCAGACAGTTTGATAGATGTCTGTGCCTATACACTGGTTTATAACCTACTTGTTCGGGTTAAACATAGAGAAACTCAGCCAATATTATCCCCTGTTATTTCTGCCTTAAGTGCTAGGGCTGTTGCAAATTCTGGTCTCTTCTTTGCTTCACCTGCCAGTCTGAAGAAACCACCCAAGCCCATTTGGTAGTATACGTAAAGTAAAAGGTAAAGGTTCCCCTCACACGTGTGTGCTAGCCATTTCCAGCTCTAAGGGACAGTGCTCATGTCCGTTACAAAGCCAAAGAGCCAGCGCTGTCCAAAGACATCCCCATGAATGTGGCTGGCATAACAAAATGCCGAAGGTGCAGGGAACACTGTTACTGTCCCAACAAAATGGTTCCTATTTTTCTACTTGCATTTTTACATGCTTTTGAACTGCTAGGTTGGCAGAAGCTGGAACAAGTAACAGGAGCTCACTCTGTTACACGGCGCTAAGGATTCAAACCACTGAACTGCTGACATTTCTGATTGACAAACTCAGCATTTTAATACTGAGCCACCGCGTCCCTAGTATATGTAAAGCAAAGTGCAAAATTCAGGATTTATTCACCTCTTTGCTAGAACAAACAATAACTTCCAAATCCATCTTTAATTAGGAAGCCAAAATGACTGGTTAAAAAATTATAATGAACAATCTGTAGAGGGAACCTCTGTAGACACGAGCCAAATAGGAGTGATTTGTATTAAGCCATAATTCATAATGATTGTTTAGCTGTGAATGCAGCTAATATTTTAAAAATAGTGATGATCTGGATAATGATGATGATGATGATAAACTACCAGACAACAGATTTTCCTCCTGTCAATAAATTTTCTCTCTTTAAAGTCATACAACTCTTTTTTAGCAGTTCCATTAGCAATGAAGCTCTCAGTCAAGCTATTCCTGTAGGTTTGAGACAGATGCCCCATTTTTTTCAAATTCTGTTATTACCAAGGTAGGAAATGCATGCAGTGTGTGTGGTTCATTGAAATCTTTCAATCTGTTTATCAGCAGTTGATGTAGAAGATGTTTGTATTTCCTACTGTATAATAAGAAAAGTGTGGATGCCATGCCATGCTTCCATTCCACAGCTCCACTGCTCTCCCAAAAGGATGGGAGAGGAACATTTTGGGAAAACATTTTGCTATCCAGATCAGTTCAGACCATTTTCAAGCCTGGTCTTTCTTTTCTGAGTTTCTCCATGCATTGCATACCAAATTTGTCTCATTGTGCTCAGTTTTTTGTGAATTAATTTATTGATGAACAAAGATATGAAAATCTGGCCCCATTATATTATTTCTTTTCAACATTCTGTTGCATTAGAAAGAATACAAATCACAATCTCTTAAATTGGACTAATATATTACCCTGAAAGGTAAGAAAATCTGACTATAGGTCAGATATACTCTATGTGTGAGATCACACTTCTTAAAATACAGAATGTATTCTAATCTGGGATGTATTATCACATATCTTCTTGTCTGTAGCTGTTGTTATCTGACAGTGGAAAGGGGTAGAGTACTATGGTTCTTATTTTAATGTTGTAAGCTGCCCCAAGTCATCTATAGATGAGCTAGACGGCCATACAAATTTAATAAATAATCAAACAAACAAATAAGGGCCATAGTGAGGTGTGCAGTTGTCCAGACAGCCACTAAAAGGACACAAGTAAAGTGATTTTTTAAAAATATGTCCATTGCCATCTAAGGCAGGGGTCGCCAACCTTTTGGACTTCAGGGACCACCAAACTCATAATTTTAAATCCCGCAAACCACTAATATGAATTTTGACTGACAGTGGCTTGCTGATGTTTTCCCAGGGTCTCTGCAGAAAGCAGCAAAGACCCTAGGAAAATCCCCCAAAAAGTCTGCAGGAAAATTCCCCACCCCATTTTCCTACCTATCAATCTTTCTTCATTTGGGATCACAGGATACTGTCTCCAGCTCTGTTCTCAGGAGGAGAGAGAGAAAGAGATCTTTGGCTTCATACAAGGAAAACAGCAGAAGCAGCAGAAGTCTTTCTTTCTCTCTCCCAAACTCTGCCAGAAATGAGTCTTTGCCAGCGCAGCCTCTTGGAGCAGGATGCCTTGCAGGATCCCAAAGACTCATTTCTGGCAGAGTTTGGGGAAGAGAAAGAAAGACTTGCTTCTTTCTTGGATGCAGCCAAAAGCAGAAGAAAAAAAAACTGGAAAGAAACAGCCCAGTAGCCAGGCCAGGTGCGTGAGCATGTGGGGCAAAT